AGGGGACACACTGCAAGGAAAACGACAAGGGGGTTCTGCTTCGAGGGTAACACGTGGGCGCTCACATGGTGTTGCTGGAAAGACAAGACCGACCTTCGCTTCTCACTGATTGCGGCTGTAACAAACAGGTCCCTCCCGCCGGAAGTCCCGCCTCGGGCGTTCCAGTGTGGAACCCCGAGATGCAGCCGGGGGAGGCGGCCGGGGGAGCATGCTCCTTGGACGGACCTATTGCTTGGAAAAACCAATGTTCTACTTTTAGCTTCAGATATATCGTAAGTCAAAACGTGCCATTTAGTTAAAAATATATATATATTTGGATTCATCGTAGTGCATCAAAAAGGCAAAACACTCCCAGAGCCGATTCCAGTCCCTACATTTCACGGAAGTGAGACTCCCACTAAGCCTTGGGCGGGGAGGCCACCTGTCCTGCAGCCGACCCACTCCGTCCTCCTGGGCCCCAGCGAGCAGCTGACTCTTAACTACCTGGAACCACCCAGGAAACGGAGCAGGTGGGACATTTGCTATAATCAGAGCACTCATGAGCGATGCTCAAACCTGGAGCCCTCTGTCTCGCATCTTCTGCAACGGTCAGGCCAGTGGGGGAGGGGACAGGAAGAAAACGAGTTCCCTTTGTGAATCTCATGTATGATTTTGTTGAGTTGTCAGAACCAGCTTTAGTGAGCTGTCTGGACATTGTTAGTTAGCAAAGCTCACTGCTGCAGTTAAAATAATTTTACCTGATCTAACATCTCACTTGGAAGAGACTTTAGTTTCCAGTTGAATTTCACCAAGATAATAAAGTTTGGCTAATTCCTGCCTGCTAATTTAGATTCCACTTGGACAGAAAATGAGCAAAGGCTGACATCAGTCTAAGCTGAAAATTGAAGAAGTAAACAGTGAAACCCAAACGAAGAGAGGAGTGTGGTCCTTTCTGCTCCCCCTGAACCCTCACACCAGACCCCAGGCGTCCGCACGTACGGTGGACGGTGCGTTTCTGCCCCCGCATTAGAAGCAGGCCGAGCGGGGCTCGTGTGGCAGCGCTGATTTACATCACGTGGCTGAAGCAGCCGACTCTAGGTTTTCTGTTGGTTAAAGCGCGTTTTCTGAAATCGCAGGTACGAACAAGCTAGGGCCTGAGCTAGGATGGTTGTCCTGCCTCAGAACCTGTCTTCCAACTCCACGAGGGCCCCTCACCCTGCCTCCCATCAGCTCACGACAGAGGACCCCCTACAAGGGTCCCTAAAACGGAGGACAGGACTCTGCCTGTCCATCCCATGGGCTGCAGCACTGAGGTGGTGGCCTCGTCCCTAAACACTGCATCTCAGGGTGGCCTTCGTTTCTGTCCTCTTGACTGATGACCTCTGAAGAAGAGAACAGGTGCCTGGGAAGATATGATTTCGGTGCATTAAAGAAAATGGAACAGGATAATGCCTCTCACCCAGACACGGTCCAAAGTCCACAGGCAGCCAGCTTTGCCCTGAGGGCAGGAGGGTCTCCAGCCTGGAAGGATCGGCTGCATCTATGAAACAGGCCAGGCCTCGAGTTCACTGTCCGGGCCAGGAAGAGCTCGTGAGTGGGCGAGGCTCGCCGTGCTTCCTTTCCCTCCGGGAAGGCACGTGTTAAGGACACTCGGGTTCCTGCACCCCCGCTCCAAGTGGCCTGACGTGCAGGCATCCCCTCAGCATGTGGAATTAAACGCTGACCCAATTAATCTTGAATCCCAGCCAGCATCTTTGACTCCCAGGTGTCCGGCAGCAGGAAAGCCACACGAAAAACCAGTGACATCAAACAAACGGTCCCTCTGCAGACACGTCGGACTGCTCGTCTGCCATGCCCACTGCCGGATGGACGCAGGCCGGTGTCGGCCGGGCCGCCTGACTCACCAGCCCCCACCGCATCCTGCCACGGATATCACAGTGCAGGGCCCACCCCAAAACCCCTCAGTCGGCGCAGACAGGTCAAGTAGGGAGCGAGCCCAGTACAGTTCTCCCTCGTCAGCTGCAGACACCCCAGTTTCCCTGGGACTAGAAATGCAGATTATAGGTCAAATCCATTTGATTCCTAATTAAAACAGATGGCGAATCCCATCCCAACAGTGAATTTGCTCGCATGTTGATATTTCCTCCACTGTACACTCAGCCCCTCCAAACGCATCTGTCTGCACGTGCACGTGCAGACGTGTGAACCTCATGCACACGTCCACACACAGACGCAGTTCATTTCTTTCTTTAACCAAGGCTTCCTCAAAACAATCAACGATGACCTTTGCAAGACTATTTTTACCCAAATCTAATCATCTCTGGGTTTTTCTCATTCTGACGCGACTGTTTAAATACCTTCCTGATCTATCATTCCCGCTAAGGTGTGCGCTGACTTTGCCCTGAGGTCTCGTAATTGGCAAACAATATAAGGACATCGCAACTTCCTCCACAAAAATCGGGAAACACAGAAAAATAACTTTTCTGGAGTGCACGATCTCGACACCACCTGGGGACTATTTCCGTTCCTTGTCTTCCAGGACGATTTGGAGGCTGTGGTCTCTTCACTGGACAGCGTTTCAGGCGGGCTTTCCTGTGACGCTAAGTAATCTTTGCATGTGCCATGTGAATGGCCGCGCCCGGTGACCGCACACCACAGGCCACGAACCCTCTACCCCTTTACGTGTAGTCAGGCATTTGGTTGCTTCTACTTTTCCCGCCCTTAAGCTGGAACGAATGTGTTTTAACTATTGATTTAAAGCCGCACGCAGAGATGGCTCCATCACTAAAAGTACAGGGTTTCTATATTTACAGCTCGCATTTGATTATGAAATGTAATTTGAGGGTAATTAAGATATTTATATTCCAAGCAGCTCCACGTCACCGAGCACTCCCGAGCCACAGGCACAGCCGCGACTTGCCATTTTCACCTCGGGACGGCACAGTCCAGTAAATTCTACAACACCGTTTCCTTATGAAAAATAAAGGTCACGAACTCCTGCCGCTTCAGAGCCAAGAGATTAGCGGCGGGAACCCAAGCCCACGGTTCTCTGGCGGGGGGGTGCGGCCAAGGCCAGCCGCGGCTAGACATGCCACGTTGGTCCCTGGCGTAGTCCCCAGCTCAGAGCGGCCCTCACTGACTAACCGTGCCCCAGGCCAGGTGCTCCTGGGACCCACCTGGACAGCCCCCCATAACCTGCACCCAGATGCTTTGGAGCCACAGCCCAGGGGAACTGATGAGTTCCAGCCGTTTGTCACAGGTCACTCTGGCTTACAGATTTCCCTGGGTGGGGCAGGGGCTTAGTGCATGGAGTTTAAAAGGAATACGTGCGGCCCGCTCGTTGTGACTCTGAGCAAGTATGGCCCGCTAGTTGTGAGAGTCAGCAAGGTATGGGAAAGATCTTGTTCCTCGGCCTCCGATGTGCAGCGCGTGGACAAGGCCAGGGCCTCCCCCATGGGGCGAGCTGCGGGTCCAGGAGGAAGTGGGAGCAGGCGTGTGGGGGGCGTGGCATGCGGCCAGGCACGGGGCCCGGGGAACCGAATACTGGCGTCACACCGGGCCACGCGGACATCCGTGTGCCGAACGACTGCATGAAGGAATGAAGCCCCAACGAGGATGCTAGAAGGTTCTACTCGTCTCGTGGACTCTGCTGCAGAATGCCCAGTTTTCTTTCACGTCAAAATCATTTTCTTAAGCTTGGGCCGGCTTAAGATGAAAGTAATTTCTAATGTCCAGAACTTCCATTACACAGCTTTAGAAAAATGTCACCCAGCCATCAAGAGGAATTCAACCTCATCTGATGCCAGAATGAGTCAAATACAAAATCTCTGGGTATCTTCCCTCTCAGTGCAGTAAGAACAACTCAATTACCATGACTTAAAAAAGGTTTGGCAACAACCGACTGAGCTGATAAAAATTCCTATTTATTACCATCATATTTGCTAACAAGGAAATGATTTTTATGTACTTAGCAGCTCTCTATAAAACAGAGAAGAGTATAGGAATTTCTTTTTTCATTCTTAGTATTTTGCCACTGGCAATTAATTTTTCTGTTTTGTTTTATTAGTTTGACGGTTGGGTCCAAGACTCAGAA